TAATTTTAGTGAGTATCCATCCACACCCTGCGAAGTAGTTACATGGACATACAACAAACAGTAGTATTATATTTTTATAGATTAACTTAATTCTATTATTTTTCGAGTTTTATTAAAGAATTGGCGTGAACTTGTTATTTAGATAGAGTGCTGTGTATTTTGCACGAACTTATTTATTCTATGTGTTAAGAGCACACTATTGTTATTGATAATTAGCTTCGTTGTGTATTGGAAACACAGTAAACCAATGAAGTTTTTCGAAGTCAGTTACCGTTTTTATCATAGAAACAAGACCAAGACATTCTGGTAAGATGACTAAAAGTGGAAGCAAATGTTTTTTTTATTTACTATCTGTTGACAGTGGCTATGGCCGGATCTACGGAGTCTTCACTGGTTACATCGAGAATGTCCTGCCTTCTTGGATGAATAACATAATTGAGTATCTGACCTCACCTGGAGTGGTGATTCCACTGCTTTTGTTACTTGTGTAAGTGAAACGCCATTAATTCTGATAACTAATATATCGTAATACCTCAGATCTTATTTCACCAAGAGTAATCGAATAATTTATTTTGTCTTGTGTGGAAACCCCACAGTTTTTGTTATTTAATTAACTGAAAAGTCATTATTTCTGATGACGAATATATCGTAATACCTCAGATCTTATTTCACCAAGAGTAATCGAATATTTATTTTGTCTTGTGTGGAAACCCCACAGTTTTTGTTATTTAATTAACTGAAACGCCATTATTTCTGATGACGAATATATCGTAATACCTCAGATCTTATTTCACCAAGAGTAATCGAATAATTTATTTTGTCTTGTGTGGAAACCCCACAGTTTTTGTTATTTAATTAACTGAAAAGTCATTATTTCTGATGACGAATATGTAGTAGTACCTTAGAATTTACTTTATCAAGAATAGTAATTAATGAATATAATATACTGTTTGTAGTGGAAATTCCGCTTCGTTTGATAGTTGTGTACGTGAAAGGATCCGTGGTTTAATATACAGCAAAAGTCACGGTTCCACTACTCTTGTTACGAATACTCTATACCAAAATATTATCCATTCTTGTGAGAAGGTGTGTTTTGACAAATTCGAATTAATTTGTAGCCAATTTTGCATGATTCTGGCGTACATTTTAAATGTTTATTATTTTCTTAAAATGTGAACGGCTTGTTTGTTGTTAAGCACAAAGCTACACAATGGGCTATCTGTGCTCTGCCCACCACGCGTCCGCAGACATACCGCTGTGCCACTGGGGGCAATGTGAACGGAAAAATGTTAACTTAATTACCAATATTGAAATAAGTTATTTAATCAAAAGAATCTCTGGAAAAATGTTTAAAGGCAAAGAAGTAAAAGTCAAAAAACAGAACCCATCTATTACAAGATCTCCAACTCATGCGTAGGGGCATTCAATAACACCCTTTTGTATTTATTAGTAACCTTTGCATCCCTACTACTACCCCGTGTCTTTTTTTTTTGTATACTTATTAGTGATCTTTTACAGAAAATCCACCAGTGAGAATCGACAGCCCATGGGCTTGTTTGCTATGATATCTCTATTTGTACTACATATGATTTATGTACAAAATATACATTACAGTTGGTGATCATTGTGAACATCACGAGAGATCTCACGATTCCCTTGTAAAAATCCAGAGGGCGAACCGTTTTAAATTTGGTTTCCCTTAGGGCTTGCATTATGCCAAACTCTGTCGTCAAAACAACCTTCTTGTGCGTGGTTACCAGCTGTCTGAAGTTTAAAGTGGAAACAAGAGGGAATACTCAATCGGTCAAAAGATGAAGCTATGAGTTAAAAGTTTGTACTTGAAAGAAAACTCGGAGCCATTCTATGAGTTGCTATGCCACGGCTAAAGTCACTTGTGTAGAATAGAAAACAACGGCTTACAAGTGTTTGTGGTCACATAGCACACGCCAGAAACTTAAACCCGTAAAGCCTATGACGTTTCTAAAGCTTCTTGTCGTTAGTTACCAGTTTGAAACGAGATTATATAAGAGCTCTTGGAGTTGAAAATTTTTTTACACGAGCGAAATGAACGTAAAGAAAGTGATATAGAATTTTTCACAATTAAATACTTAACCTAAATATCTACCTATATTCACAGGGTACTAATATATTCGGAAGGATTAATAATTTATTACATGATGTCGTTGATTGATTGTAGTTGTATTTTGCAGATGGATAATCTATTATCTGATGTCGTTGATTGGTTGTAGTTGTGTTTTGCAGATGGATAATCTATTATCTGATGTCGTTGATTGGTTGTAAATGTATCTTACAGATTGATAATCTATAACCTGATGTCATTGACGGGTTTTTAGTTGTGTTTTACAGTCTTGAAATCTATTACCTGATTTTGTTGACTGGTTTTAGGTGTGTCTTACAGATTGATAATCTATTATCTGATGTCATTGACTGGTTCACTTCGTGAGGCCAATAATGACTTAAGGATGCAACTACGAAGGGTAAGCGATATTTTTCGTTTTTCTTTATGAAGCAGAAACAAAATGTACAATGTATTGTACATTATACTCAATAACAGATCGTACACCTGCAACTTGGCGTGAAGATAGGTACACTTGAAATAGCTTTTTGCTGAATAGTAACACTGTTTCCTGTCTTGTTTGAAATCCATGATTTTTTTTTTTGTATAAGTGTTTGTCAATATTGAACATGAATTTCAAATATTGTGTGACAAAATGGCTGAAAGTAGTCAGCAAATTGTAAGTTAATTATAACAAATAAATCTGATTATCGTAGGTGTCACTTACAGTCAAGAAGAATTGCTTATGGCATGCAAAATCTGCGACTGATGGAAGTAATATTTTTTTCAATGAGATGGTAGTATTGGTTTAAATTGAGTATACACTCAGATTTTCTAATAGAGGGTTGTAATATTTTTTCATATGTTGATTTGTTGGGTACGCTTCAATAAACAACAAAAATGTTAAACGTTGCCATTACTTATCTGTACATCATTAGGAAGATTTAACAATATTAAAGTGTACGTTAAAATGCAAAAATTAATTGATACATAATAGACAGAAGGGACAAATTCAATGAATTTCGGCAAAATTAAAAGTCATTAGCTTTATCAATAAATTCTATGAATAATTTGAATTCAATACCAGTTTCTAACTCTTGCACTTGGTAAAGTTTCTCCAGTAAAATATCATGGAACCTAAAACTTTACCACACCATCTTCATACCAAACAGGCGGAAGATACAGACACATAAAATACCTGTGCAAAAATAAACATAAAACCCGTTGAAGAACCAGAATAAATCCTCTATTAAAGGCCTCTCACTTTGGAAAATTAAAATAAATTAAGCTCAACTAACTTAATATTCATTACAACAGCTGTCCACTAAGAATCAAGCTCTGCAACTCGCTTCATGGTTATTAGTGGGCATTGTTGAAGCTTATTTAAAGTGCATGAAACATTTATCAAATCATCAGAAGTTCGATGGAATGCATCTATTGCTGTACTAACATGTTCCTAACTCACTTTTAATACTATAATAAATATCTTTACGATAAATGTTTTATGGAATACACTTCAAAAACAGTGTTGTTGCATACCACATTAAATTCGTATTAAATAATTCTAAACTTTGAAAATCTTTGTACCAGCTATGATTATGATTCGTTGCAGGAGAGATCAGAAGGAAAGAAGACTTCTGATACGGCTAATGGTAAGAATAATTAACTACTGCTATACAGATTTGGTGCAATATAATTGTCATATTATGTAGAAAATGAAAGCAAAAAAATAAATAAAATAGAAACAACGCAGTTTCAAAACAGACATGTACCACCTGGGCACACACCATAAGGTGGGTAGTTATGCAATGTGCCCTGGTTTTTGAAAAACTGGCAGAAGTAAGACCCAATTTGCGTTGGGTATATCCAGTTTAACCTCAGTTGCGCAGGCCTCGCATTCTTAATAATAAAAAATAAAATAAATAAAAAAGAGCAGATGTGGGTGCTCTAGCCCACAATGTCTGTCTGCAGCCAGATGTGGGAAGGTGGTTGCTGAAACAAAAATTAAGAAATAATTGGAATACATATATCAATGGGGGAGACAGTAAAACTGTCTTTGAAGTTGGCATTCCAGCCCCCATAATAATGTTTGGACATGTATACCACGATGTTAAGATATTACTACACAAGCCCATAGCTCCCATCCTCCACCCATATGGAGCAACCACCTTCCCACATCTGGCTGCAGACAGCGAGAGGTGGTAAAGATGTGGGACATTGTGGGCTAGAGCACCCACATCTCCTTTTTTATTTTTTATTTATTTTATTATATTATTAATATTAAGAATGTGAGGCCTGCGAAACTGCCCCTCGGGTGGATTCCTGTACGTGGTGAAAGGACCTCCCAGGGAAGGTTCTGTATTTTCAGTTATCTCCTCTGGGATCTAAACATCCACCCACGTGTTTGCCGTGCGTGGCGATCCATGAAGGGAAGTAGAGGATCCTGGTGGTTGAGTGGTGTCTAGGGCACTGCAACACGCCATTTTGGCATTGAATTCCTGTAGACGGGTGGCCTTGGGTTGGCACCCCCCAGGGTCAATCAGCTGGTCCCATGGGGCTAGGTTCAACTAAGTACCAGTGTTGGGCATTCTCAACGGGTGGTGTGGACATTGTATCTGATGCTGGTGTTTGGGTATAGTGCTCAAGAAACCCTGGCATTACTGCTAGTGTCCTTGTTTGACATTGTAGTGCATACCCTCATGGGACTACATGGTGGGTGGGGTCAGTGGGCTCTCAATCTCCCACTTTTTATTATGGATCCCTTAAATCCCTCCAAAAATCTGAAACTCTGCTCATTGGAAAACGACCACACTTTGAAGACTCTGAACAGCAGTCTCCACCACATTGTGCACATGTACCTCGTTTCCTGATCCTAAATTCTCTGTCTGATAAATTTTTAAGGCAAATGTCTCCCTTTTTTATACAGAAGGGATTAGAGGGGCTTGCTGGCTCTCCAAAGTCAGTTAAGAAGCTCTGTTCTTCAGACATCTTGGTGGAAGCATCCACAGCTAAGCACAGTGAACTCCTCTTGAATTCAAAGACCATTGGGGATATCCCCATTGAGGTTACTCCTCATGCTTCTTTGAATTCCCCACGAGGAGTTATTGTCGAGAGGGACTTGAAGATTATCCTCAAGTCAGAGATCCTCGCTGGTTTCTCCAGCCAAGGAGTTTCAGCTGTTTGTCAAGATGGTATTATGGTCCCAACCTCTGTTCTCATTTTGAAGTTTTCATAACCACGTCCACCTGCCGCTGTTAAGGCGGGTCATTTGAATTTTATGGTATGGTATGGCCATATATTTCCAACCCTTTCCAATATTTCCAGTGCCAGCAGTTCAGTCATTTGAAGACATCTTGCTATGGTTCTGTGACGTGTGCTCGTTGTGGTGGCAAGGACCACGACGTCTACAACTGCAAAATGGACCCTCATTGTGTTAATTGTAGTGGTTCCCACCCATCTTAATTTAGATCTTGCTCTAAGTTGGTTGAGGAGAAAGAGGTACAGCATTTGAAGACTCTAAATAACATCTCTCATTCTGAGGCTCGGAAGCTATTGTTCCCTCCTACATCGCGGTCATATGCCTCT